CCGGTGTTTTTATGTGTGTTTCGGTACCGTCTGTTTAGTTAGTACGCCTGGGCGGCGGAGGGGGCAGCTGCTCTTGTGTGTGGTTCGTGTCGACTCTAGGTTATCCTGTGCATTGATACCACTAGGGTTAGTTGGTAGGGAGGGCGAGTTTACCTCGCTTCGACAGCTACCTATGCTACAATAGTTTTTCTTTTGATCGAAGTGCCGAGAGCACAGTCTAGAGTTGTTTGTCTCTTGCGCATGAGTGGCCGGCTACTGCTAAAACCAAGCGTAGAGTACGGTACAAATTATCGACAGACGGCGGCCGCAAGGCAAGGTCAATCGGAGAGGCCATCCTTATTGCGTAGGTGGGAGCGTAAAACACTCGTCACGAGTAACTCTTGCTTGCACTGCCCTCCCTTATTGTTCTGGTATTCGGGTGTTGCTCGCGAGTTATAGGGTAGCTTCTCTACTGTCTTCTTGAGAGTTTCGGTGATGTAGGTGTTTGGTGATTGTGCAGCACAGCTGCAGGTACAACTTGGTGTGATATACTTCATGACCTCTTTTTTGGCATGGTGGGTTGGCAATCAGGTTCCGGCAAGCCATGCTACAGTATGTCTTCGCCTGCCGCTGGACCAATCTATGATTGGACCGCGCTCTCCACAAGGCGGAGGTTCGCCATGATGGAGTCTTACGGGAACTGGTGGCACGTTGTTGGGCTGTGCCGCTGTTGGCTGTTACTGAGCAATGAAATTCGCGCGTGGTTACCGCGTTCAAAGGAGCGGGCAGTTGGAGCTTGTCTTTAAACCACCTTTCTTTCTATGGAAGTCGTTTCTTCTTTACCTTCATGTGCTATTCACGGCAGCAACTTGTAAATGCTGTACTCACGTGTGGGTGTATGCATATACTTTTTCTGACATGCGCAAGAATGTCCACGGGTTCGCTTTTTTCTTATAGATGCCTGCATGGGTGATAGTTCCAGAGAGCGAGACTCGCTGTCTGTTGAGGTGGCGGCATCAATACCCGCCGCCCACCTCGCCATTTGAATGTGATTTGTTGGGTAAATCCGATGCCCTTTACGTCTTTTGGGTGGCTGCCTTCAAGTATTTTACTTTTTCTGGGCGGATGACGGGATGTGATGTTGATGCTGGTGGGACAGGGGCATAGCAACCTGTATGGCAGTGTTTTTACCCTTGTCTCCTTCGGACGTGTGGTAAACATCCGAGATCTGGTGTCAACCCAAACGCTTTATTTACAGGGCGTCATTTGAAGCGCGCCTGAGGAAGGCCCCGGGTTCGACCTCAGCACCCGCTGCGTTTTTCTTCGCTTCCGCTTTTTCATTTTTTTCCCCCTTCCGTTGATTTGAGTTGATCTGATTTTTCTCTTCAGTACTCCTTCCTCTCTGCAGTGAGTGCGCGCATCATTATGGATGAAATGCATCGCATGACTGCTGCTGTGACCGACTTACTGACTGACCATCATCAACACAACAATTGAATACCTCTGCAGTAGTAATAATTGTAGTCGATCCTCAGCTGCTTGCTGGCGGCGATCTGTGCTTGTTGTTTTGTACTGACCATTATCAACACAACAACAATCGATACCTCTACTTGTAAAAAAAATTATAGTCGATCCTAAGCTGCTTGCTGGCGGTGGTCTGTGGTTGTTTTGTTGCTGGTTAATATCAATCATGTTCCTCCTCATGTAGTCTAGTTTCTTGTTTTCGCAATTGCTCTGTACAACCAGTATATTACTCTTTTTGTAGTTATTATATGTACACCAAGCTCAACATACACGCGCTCTCCGCGTAGGAGATACCGAAGAGCAACTCTGCACCAAGTCCATTCTTCTTGTGGATGTCACAACCAATCATAACCCGTATCATCATCAGCGAGTCAAAGCTGTTGAGAAGCACGATGATCTCGCTTATTTTTTTGGCAACAGGGGTGCAACATCAAGTATTTCCGCCACCTGCAGAACACCATACATCAGACGCAGGAAGCAACCGTGGTGTAGGAGGACAACTCGGGAGCTCTGAAATTAACTCGCGGCTTCTGTATCACCCCAAGGACTAAGCACGTTGACGTGAAGTTTCACCACGCAAGGTCACTGGTATCTGACGGAGTCAGTCGTCGCCGTTAACAAATAAATATATATCGACGTCGCTTCAGAAGCGGATATTTTTACGAAAGGGCTAAGCCCGTCGGAGTTTCTCCGCGCCAGTGGCATGCTGTTAGGAGTTTAACGACCTCCCCTCTTTGTGATCCCTTGAGTGTTTGCCGTCGTGATTGGATTTTCGTCGCTTGGCAATGAAAAGCCGATTCACTTTTTGAGCTCTGCAAACAGATTATCGCTTAATATTACCTCTGTTGTATATTTTTTGCTGTTACTGCAATGAATGGTGCTCGAGTGATTCATGTTGTGCGGGGTCGAGAACCCTCACTCCGCGCGAAGGGGACAATCGCACCACGTTGTGTTGAAATGGTCAACCATCCTCGAGGTACTTGCACAGCATGTTTTATATGTCTCTCTCTGGAAGTGAAAACACAACACAATGAATGAACTCATACGCAGCTAGCAGTCATCCGTACGCAAGGAAGTAAGCACAAGATGCCGAGCACCTTTAGCAGGATGCAGCGCACCCTTCATGCGACTCGCCGAGCACCTCACGGCGCTTCGCGCTTGGTGATGTGAGAGCCTGCTCCGGTGAGAACCCGGCGTTCTTCGTCCCGGCTATGTGGAGATGCGAGGTCAATGGTCTATCGCGACTACGTACGGTATGAATGCACGACTGACTGTGTACTCCCCCCTCTTAGTAATCAGACCGTAGGTCTTGAGGGTTGGATGGTGTATGTGTGTGTATATACTGAGAGAAAATTATTGAGATTTGTGTGGGAGGAAATATTCGCTGCTGATTCAACGCAGCTGAGAAAGGCAAAACAATTGATTGATTTTGATTAGAAGTTGTTCACATAACATTTTTATTTTTATTTATTTTTGCCTTCCGACAATTGCAGATGTACCTCAGAAAACTTTCACTTAATGTCTCATACTCTACATGAATGTTAAACCAATACGAAGTACAACAACATATGTATGACTTATTTCTACTGTCATTTACATCGTAAAAGTACCTCCTCTTCAACTTACCAATGACAATCCTGATGGTATCCTATATGCGTTCGTAAGCTTGCTAAAATACTACTGCGTTGATGTCCGCTTGTAAAAGCTGAAATCCAACAAATGCTTTGATCCATCCTACATCTCCGTGTTGGAAAAGCCCTTAACATTGTTTCGAGAGGACACGGATGGATTTTTTTTTTAATTTTTTTATTTATTTATTTATTTTTATTTATTTGCCTTCCGACAATTGCAGATGTACCTCAGAAAACTTTCACTAAATGCCTCATGCCCTACATGAATATTCAACCAATACGAAGTACAACAACATATGCAGGACTTATTTCTACTGTCACTTACATCGTAAAAATATCTCCTCTTCAATTTGAAATAACACCAATGACAATCCTCATGGTATCCTACATGCGTTCGTAAGCTTGCTAAAATACTACTACTGCGTTGATGATGTCCTCTTGTTTGGATATTGTTTCGACAAAAAAAACTCAGTTGGTAGTCTATGTAGTGGTCATTGTGCTTCTCATTAAAAGCATCGACAAGTCGATCAAACGCCAGGATCCGCCCTGCTCGAAGATCGAGCTGTAAGTAAGGCAAATCGCAATGCAGGAACTTTGAGCTCGTCTATATAGATCTACCCTCCTTGCCGCTGCTATTTATTAGGGTGGTCTTGGCAACGGCACCATCGACTAATCGTAGCTATCGCCACCCATTTTAGCATACAAAGCCTTTTGCAAGGGAATTTCGACGACGAAACGGCCTTGCTTTGCCTGAAGGCTGATGATACCCAAAGTATTCGGAGCCGGTTTACCTCCGAGCTGGTTCGTTTTCTGTGGGTAAGAACTCGTAATGTTTTCAAACGTCATCCACTACTGATGGACCAATTTCCACCACGGCCAGTAGGTTAGGATCTCACTCAGTAGTAGTACAGATAAAAACGATAATGATGAAAAAATATTAATAATCATGATGAATATGATGAGTGGAATTCCTTCGGCAGCGACGAAAGACGAGGAGAGGGAACGGGAGTACAAGAGAAAGACGAAGACAGCAATCGAGGAGGGAATCATGGCGTGGAAGAGAGCAAGAGCTTCGAGAAAAATGACCTACACCGCAGCAAACGGCGCAACCCCAGAGAAGAATTGCCGAGATAAATTGCCGTCAAAATGATGAACGGGAATCATGATGGTGAAGGCAGTCATTACATTTGTTTGCGGCCTACGCCACTTATTTATCGGGTGAGACTGTTTTGGTGATGAATTAACTTCACGAGAGGTCGACGACCGTCCTTCACACGGACGAAAGAGGGAGTGCCCAAAGAGCGGCTCCCATAGCAAGGAGGGGCCCCGTGAATCATCGCGGTGCCCCCCTACCAAATGGTAATCTTACCAGTCTGAGTGACACCAAATCATCCAGCACATGTATCCAACACCAATGTTCGCAGACCCACGAACACCCTCCCTGGTTCTTCACGCAAGTGACTCACCATCAATTGGGCAAGAACGCCCCTGGATACATCAGAAAATACCAACATGGTAATATGTGGAGGGGAAACCCGGCGTCCTTGCAGAACCTCCCCCCCCAAAAAAAACACCACCACAAAAATCGTCGCTATCACAGCGGATCACAACGGCCGCACTGATTAGAAAGGCCAAGGCGAAGACAAGAACGCGAGGAACTACGTTCCCCCGGACGATGGTCTCCCAACGCCCCCTACTCCTGCCATTGGTACACAGACCGCAACGGCAATGCGCCTTTCCCCGCATGGAAAACATGGCCTCTCCCAAGTGCTAGAAACTGCTGCAGCTACTCCGGCAAATTCATCAGCTTGCGCCGGTGATACTGCAGACTGGCCCTGCTAAGGGCCTTGGTGAGGAGGTCCGCGTGTTGCTCCGTTGTCGGNNCATCTACTCCGGCAAATTCATCAGCTTGCGCCGGTGATACTGCAGACTGGCCCTGCTAAGGGCCTTGGTGAGGACGTCCGCGTGTTGCTCCGTTGTCGGAACAAAATTGACCGAAATATTCCCCGACCTGAACAGTCCGCGGATGAAATGAAACCGCACGTCGATGTGTTTCGTGCGACCTGAGCTGAGAGGGTTCTGCACCAACGCTATGGCCCCCTGGTTGTCCTCAAGGACCTGGATGCTGCTACCACTGGTCTCTGGGGCAATAAACGAAAGCACAGCACGCACAAACAACGCCCCCTTGACGCCCTCCCCGGTAGCAATGTACTCGGCTTCCGTCGAAGACAAAGACACGATGCTCTGCGTCTTGCTACCATGGCTGACTACGGTACCTCCGACCGTCGTCGCAACCCTGATACCGAACGCCTATCCTCCGTGTCGGCGTAGCTAGCGTCTACGCACACAGCAAGCCCTAACCCCGATCCCCGTTGGTAGGTGATGCCGAGGTCCCTCGTCCCTTTCAGGTAGCCGAGGATCTTCTGGATGGCATCCCAGTGCCGCTTCGCCGGGGCGTGGGCGTGGCGCGCCACCGTACACACGGCGGACGAGACGTCTGGACGCGAAAAATTCGACACCCACATCATGCTGCCGATGGCCTCTCTCACCGGCCACTCCCCTCCCTCCTCATCCTCTCGCTTCGGCCCTAGATCGCCACCAGGGGAAGCGGGGATGCGGGAAGTTGATTGCACATCGAAGTGTTCAACCATGCTGTCGATATACGCGGTTTGGGAGATTCTAAGAGTCCCAGCGTCTACGTACTACAGGTTTAGCATACATAGATGTGGTTGTGAACAAAATATCGTGCGCGGTGCTGCCGTAAAAACCTGCTATTTTTCCGGTCGAGTTGAGACATGTTTGTTCGAGTTAGTGCACGCGCGTTTTGGCGTCGTGAGCTTTTAATCCATGTTTCACATCATCACGCCCAGTGGGTACAACTCATGTACTTCATGGGCTGGTAGGCAGCGCCAGTGTCTTTTGTTTTTGTTGTACTCATGCAGATGCCGTCTCAAAATTTCAGGTTCTGATTCGAAAAACCGCGCGGGAAATCCGGTCCAACCGTGAAATACGCGTCTTGGCTGGACCAGCTTGTACCACCATTCGATTGACCTGGGTTGGATCCGCAGTCCGAGTGGCGAGGATATTTTTTCTGACTTCTACTTCGCAACTTGTATCCATCACCGGATATATATCAAAAACGTGCGCCTGTCGGGATTCGAATCCCGTTTCTGCTCTACTATCAGAATCGCTCAACTTCGGGACGCATATGCTACTGCAGGCACGCAATCAAGCGCCAGGGAAAATTCGCACGTCAACAAATGTAGAACATCCCCACCGCGCCATGATGAATGAATTACAAGCGCATGATTACGCTGCTGCTGCTATCCAACCGAACTCGCCCACAGATAAGAAACCACTTCCCATACAAGTATCACCCTTACCCGCGCTTCACTTCCCACTTTTCCACCTGGTGCTGGGTCACTAGGAAATTCGACCCCAGTGTCTCAGAGCTCTGAGGGCGTTGTCAAGAGGAGCAACGGAGAAACTGTTCGAATTAGCCATGGCATCTGCGCAATGGGCGAGGAAACCGGCCATCAATCTTCACTCCGCTGCGATGAGAGTTCGCCGTCTTCGCCACGGGTAAACGCCCTTTGTTGCTGGACGGATCAGGCACTGGGCTATTACCCAGGTTGTACACTCGCTTTCCCATTGAATCATAGGTAGGCCAGATTGCGAACGCCGTGGCGACGTTGGAGGTGCAACTACACATAGACTAATGTGCTCCCGCATGGAAGTGATGCGACGAAACCTGGTGACTATTTCTCGCATGAACAACAGACCTAGACTTCGTAGCCACAGAGGGCGAGGGCCTTTCTCGGCGACCAAACCCCTTCTCATGGTCGCTGTCTTTCGGTGTCGGGCTCCGCTCGTTTAGTTTGTCCGTTGGGATCCACAGTACACCGACCGTGAAACGCATTTTACTGACATGGGATGTTGTTGTCTCATATTTTTACGGCACATTCTGGGCGCACCAGATCATCCTTGAGCAACACATCCATAGACCGCCCTTACGTGTATAGTCTACCTCGGTACGCTTCTCATAGAACCACGAGGCGGTAAGTGTCGTTATCTCGATTTCCGTGCCTCAGTTGAAGGTGTCGCATGCATGGCAAGTGTACACTGTCCGGAGCCCAAGTCAACTGTTCTCAAATAGCGCTCTGCAGTGGTTGTGGGAGGCCAAGGGTTGTGCAAGTTTGCAATCTGTACACAAAGGGTCACTGTACGTACCTCCTCGCCCACCCGCCAAAAGGTTTCCTCTTCTCCTGGCTTGTGCGTCTGTCTCTGCAATCCTCACTCCAGCCTACTAAACGCGACATGCAAACACAAGAGCGGAAGCGCCGCCCACGCGTCCGGCCCATACCGCGGAGAAGCAAACGCATCAGGAACAAAATCGCGGCCGCAGCCACGGCAATTTCAGCCCCCGACGCCGTGGTCATTGGCGATAACGCCAAAGACAACGACCAGAGCAACGCCGAACAAGTGGCAGCAGCGATTGGGACGCCTCGGTCACCAATGGTAAGGAATACGACAACAAATCGTAAGGGCCGAAAGCGGGGAAAACGACCAGAACAGAAGACGAAAAGCGTCGCGGCTCTTTAGTTGGCATCGGCCGTGCTAACCGGCGGACCAATGAGAATGTGTTTGTGTGTTGAATGAAGTGGACACAAGACACAGCAGTGGATCAAACTGAATCATGTTTCTCTCTGTCTCTCCCTCTCTCTATCTCTCCTCTTGAACAGCACGCTGTACGAAAGCAAGAAGTGCCGCGTGACAGTTGCTTTGACCACGAAAAGGCGCTCACGCCAACGGAATTGATGGAGGCTTCCGGTTGTACCGATGATAGCACACCGAACCGAGTGTCATCAGTGATTGGGAGGCTTCCGCCATCGATGGTAAGGAGCACAACATCACGTTGTTGTCTAGGCCCACTACGGTACGAAGCTGGCCACAAACACAAACAACGGAGACAACAAGGCGTCATGATGGAATAGTCGGCATCGACCACTCTACAGTCGGCAGAACCGCGAAGAAAACGTACCCAAAATCAGAGGAACAGGCTTATCGAAGGTCGGACTGAATAATCTCTCTGTCCCTCTGTCTCTCCGTCCCTCTTTCCGTTGAACAGCATGGTATCGGGAAGCAAGAAGAGCCGAGTGACACTTCTTCGACGAGGAAAAGGCGCTTACGCGAACGGAACTGATGGAAGTTTCCCGTTGTACCGATGATAGCAAACCGTACCAAGCGGCATCAGCGATTGGGAGGCCTCCGTCTCCGGTGGCAATGAACACAACTTAATAAATTATTGATGGACACCCCCACTACGGGACGAAGGCGGGTACAAAACCAGACATTGGACGACAACAAGAGCATCGTGATTAATTAGTCGGCATCGACCGCTCTGCAGTCGGCAGAGCGATGAAATAACGAACACAGAGGTAAAGGATCAGACTTCCCGGAGGTCCGACAGAATAATCTCTGTCTCTCTATCTCTCTGTCCCTTATTCCCTCTCGTTTAACGACATGCTGTTGGAAAGCAGGATGAGCCTAGTGTGAATTGCTTCGACGAAAGAAAGGTGCGCACGCCAACGGAACCGATGGAAGTCTCCCGTGGTACCCATGATAGCAAATCAGACCAAGCGGCATCAGCGATTGGGAGGCCTCCGTCACCCATGGTAAGTAACACAACTTCATCAGTTATCGTTGTTTGGGCGCACTCCTGCACAAAGGCGGGCATTATAAACACACAATAGACGACAAGCGCCGTGCTTGATTTGATGGCAGCGACTGCTCTACAGCCTGCAGAAAAACGAAGAAAACGTACACCTACATAGAGGGAATCAGGCTTATCGGAGAATGGACTGAATTATCTCTCCGTCTGTCCGTCTGTCCGTCTGTCCGTCAGTCCGCCTGCCCGTCTCTGTATCCCTCTCGTTGAACGGCAAGCTATTGGAAAGCAGGAGGAGCCGAGTGACAGTTGGTTCGACGAGACAAAGGCGCTCACTTCAATGGAACTGATGAAAGCCTCCCGTTGTACCGATGATGAGGGAAACATTTCCATGCCCACACAACCGGAATTGCTCCCGGCCTTCCTTTTGGCCTTCCTAAACGACAACCTAATACTTGATGCCGACGGGGAGGAGGGCTGGGTGATGGATGTACAGGAGGGTAAAGTGATGGACGCAGTTAAGGCCATCCAAGACACGGTGCCCTGAAAAACACACCGCCTGCATGTCCGATGATGCGCCTGATGACGTGTCTGCTGGAGGAGGGGGGCGCTGGGTGGGTTGAGGTTGGGGCTGTCCAGGGGGGGGGTGGTGCCTCACTACCTTGACTGCAGGAACGACGTATCGGGTGACTGTAGAAAAATAATCGACTCTCCGTGCGTGCGTACAACACAGTCGGCAATCGAACGCACAACAAACTTATTTTCTGCCGAAAGCGCCTCCAGTGAACGGTAGTCGTACGGTAGCGGTGGAGGTACTCACCCGCATAGAGACCTTCGTAGCGAGAGAGGGTGTGGGTAGATATATTGCTGCTACGCTCCTTCAATTATAAAGGTTGTTGGCGTCATCCTGTGGTGTAGCCGTCGCCTACAGTAGTTTAGGCGGGATACCATGGCAAGTATATCACGGAAAGTCAGTCAACGCCCATCGAATATGTTAGATGAAGTCGGGGCCGTCTTACTCGCTTGACTCCTGGGTATAGTGGGCTCTTCCCCTAGAGAACGCGTCCTTGCGCTGCCATGCTTCGAGTTCCTGCGCCCGACCTTTGTGGGCACGCTAGCGTCGATGTGGCCGTGGGTCAGGGGAGCCAACAGTGGCGAGACTGAAGTGGCACTCCCCTCTTCGAACACCAGCTGCAGTGATCATCATTTTAGTCATGTTTGTGGTACTTGGATGTGAGTCCGATCTGTGCATCCTCTGTCGGGGATATGCGTATGGGAACTATGGGTATGATGGGTATGTATGTATGCGGTTGAGGTCCAAGTGCGGGGCCACCGGGTGAGCACACGGCGGGGTGCTCCCGGCACTTGCCTGAGGGGCTTGCGAGTTGGTTACCAGCTTGCCTGACTGAGGGAGGGGCTGGCGAGACGAGAAATATATGTATGGTCCTTTTCTTCATCTGCTGTTCCTGGGATAAATGGTACCCAGTCTCAACACCACTGACCGCTGAGGGCGGCAGTGCACACTAACACGATATCGAGTGGAGCCTAGCTAGGCCAGGTGTTGGTTCAGCGATGACGAAAGCACGAGAGAAAGAATCAGATGAAGAAATGGAGAAGATGAAGCAAGAAGCCGAGAGTGCAGCCGAGCGTGCAGAAAGGGAAGCGGAAGCCGCGGCAGCCAAGATGGCGGATCGCAGAGGAGAGTTGAGGAGGCAGAGGAGAGGAGTTCAGCGGAGGACGCTTCTAGAGATAGGGTGGGTGATGCCGGGTATGCGGCAGGTAACATGAGGATAAGCGGCGCTGGCTATGCGCCTGGGTACCATAGCAGGGATGGAGCTACCGGGGGGGCGGCTACTTTTGGAGCCGGGGGGACGGCTGGTTTTTTCGAAGATCGGGAGCAGCAGCAGCGTGACCGCGATTACGTGCGGAAGGACCGGAAGCCACCGGTGTACGACGGCAACTTCCCACTGTTCAAGTCGCTGTTCGAGTTCTTCCTCGCCCGCGAAGATCTATCACACACACTCGCCAAGCCGGCGAGTCCAGACCAACGCATCTGGCTCCTCAACGGGCTGCCGAGGAGTGAAAACGTCCGCTTGCACGGTGAGCGTCGCGTGCGCGATCACGAGAATGCGTTTGAGTACTTGATGCGCGCCACGAAGGGCGCAAACTTTCAGGCTAAAATCTTGCCGTTGGGACTGTGGCTGGGGCGTGGGAGGCTGCACAACAGTTCTGCCTGCCAATGAGTGACTCCGAGCAGGAGGCGCTGAAGCTGTCTCTCACGAAAATGAAGATGCGGCTTGGAGAGGACCCAAAGGAGTACTTTCTTAGGTTCGACAGAGTGTTGTCGACTCTCCGCGCCGTCAACGGCGATGCGATAACGGATAGAGAAGTCTTCGCGATGCTTCGAAGGAACCTCTCCGCCGACCCGAACAGGTCCACATTCTCTTCATGACCAACAGCTAGCTCACGCGCAAGGACTTGGAGAATCTTGTGCGTAGCCTGCACGCCGAGAGAGACCTCGGGATTGTTGCGCGGCGGACGGCAGCGCCGACCGGTGACCCCCACGCTCTTCAGGTCGGCGGTGGAAATTCTCGGCGGGACTGTTGGGGAGGTTTTTCTCGTCAACAGCAGCATGGTCTACAGCAGTCCTGCGGAGGTGTTCCCGTACAGCAACCGTTCCAGCAGCAGTGGAGGTACGGCGTGCTTGGCAGAGGGTGTTCTTTTCAGCAGCAGCGGCAACAACCGTGCGTGCAGCAGAGGTTCGTGCCACAGCCATCGGTGCAGCAGCAGCCCATGCCACAGCAACAGCCTCGTCAACAGCAGCAACCTCTACGGTCCTGCAACGGCGCTCCTGGTACAGCTCCCGCTTTCGCCCGCGGACCGTTTCAGCAGCAGCGGAGGAACGTTGAGTTTGGCGGTGGGTCTGTGTGTCGGCAGCAGCAGCAGCAGCAGCCAGGCGTGGTGTACGGCAGTGACTCGCAGCAACAGCCGCGGCAACAACAGCTAGCGGACGGCTTCACCGGGGGTGCAGGTTGACAGGTGCGTGGTGGGGTGTTCGTTGGTGAGAAGGGCGGGGGGGCTGCTGTCGGTTCGTCTGCGGCGTATTTGCCGGTACAAGCCCCCGCCAATGTAGCTTCTCTCAACGTGAACACACACACCGCCACTCGCTCTCCCCAGCCGCCCGCGACATCACGTGTGGCACCTGCAGTAGTGCGGCAACGCGATGAGCCATATCCCATGGAGGGCGGATGCAGCAGTAGACGTGTAGCGGAGGAACACATGCTTGGATCGTATCACGTTGTTGTAGTTTCGCCGTCCGCGGAATCACAACAACCCAAGCATTCGTCGGAAGCGGCAGTAGCAGCAGCGGAGTCCCCGGTCGCCGCGTTGGCGTCGGGTATCCAGACGGCCGTAGCGGCGGCGGTAGCGACATCGATGATGGGGGTGACGGCAACGGCGACAGCAGCAGCGGCGTCCCCGGTCGCCGCATTGGCATCGGGTGTCCAGACGGCCGCAGGGGCGGCGGCGGTGGCACCGGTGACGGAGGAATGTGACGAAGAGTTGGAGGAAGCGGTTGGTCCGACAACCATGCCATTGCCAGTCCTCGAGGAGCTTGATAGCCAATATGCTGGGGGGGACGTGAGCAACAGCAGCATCAGCAGCAGCAGTAGCAGCAGCTGCAGCAGCGAGGACAGCGGCGGCGATGGGAGTGGGGATGAGGGGTTGGATGAAACCTGGAGTGGAGCCCCGACGCACCCCTTCGACCCCGGTACGACATCTTCGTGTGGCGCGAGGAGACGGGGGGCGGTACCAGGGGTGGCGTACCCCTTCGATAGGGGCAGGAACGGGAGTGCAGCTCCGGCGGCGGCAACGGCGGCAACGGCGGCAGCCGCAGCAGCGACGGGAGTGGCGGCTTCGGCTACAGCTGCGGCGGCGACACAGGCGGCAGCAGGAGCAGCGACGGGAGTGGTGGCATCGGCCAGAGCTCCGACGGCAGCAGAAAACGGCAGCGGCGGCTTTGGCCAGAGCCCCGGCGGCGGCAGCGGCGACAACGGCGGCGGTGGTAGAGGCGGCAGCAGCGACGTCACCGGCAGCCGTGTTGGTGCTGGAACTCATGACGATCGTGGCGGCGGGGAACGGCAACGGCGGCGATGGCAGCGGCGGCGCAGTGGTATAACATGTGAAACGTTTACGACTTTGGTCGGTTTTGTGAGCAGGCATGTACGTTTTAGCTTCGCCATTTGGCTTCGTATTTATGTTTTTGTTCTGTTTCGACGTTGCTAGGGCACCGTGCACTCTGATGCAGAAAACACGTGTATGCCACGGCGTGTGCGTAGTTTTTTTTTCGGTACTTAGTTTCATGATAATATTTGTACGCCGCGACAAGATAAGATAAGCATTGCCACAACCTGTGGAAAGGAAAGCAGCACGTGGGTATTCTTTTTCCTTGGTTCTTGGTATATTTTCAGTCGCGTGTTAACCTTGCAGCTGAATGCTTCATGCTATTTCCGTATTCTTTGGAGGGAGTACGTTCAGTCGAGTTTTTTTTTGTTTTCTACGAACTGGACACTTTGCACAAAAAATGTTTCGATACTTTAGATTTTATGTGAGGTCCTGAGTTAAGTGGTCGCTCTCTGCGGTGTGTTTCTGGCCCGCGCACGAAATGGGATGATAGCGCGTTGTTTGACATGCATGAAGGCATACCAATCAGGGAGCAGGGGGGCTTTCGGAGATCCAGTTGAGGAGACACTTTGCATACGGTACGAACTTTTTCTGGAGTTTGATGCCTTGTCGGTTACTACGTGTTTTCATGTTCTGGTTTGTATCGCATGTTTTGCTGCTCTTGCATCGAAAATCATGGGGGGGGATGTCATGATGTCATGTATGACCATGATTCTAGAGGGCATGAGCAGCAATCGAATTGGTTTGTTTTCTGGTCGCGCCTACTTGTGTGTTAGGTGAACGGCAAAGCAAGGGGGCTACAGGCATCGAAATATTAGCTCGGGGTAAATTTTGGGAGCTGACAGCAGGGGGGCTGTTTGCGTGGATGCTTCATTACGTTTTCTATCGTTTCTTGAACAACAGCGAAGGTACCGATTGGCGGGTGCGCGCTGTTTAGGATTTGGTCCTTGGACACTGTATTGGAGGAAGGATTTGACATGTTTTGACGATCAATGGTTGGGGCCGTGTGCTTTCCGAATTCTCGTTTTGATTGGTCAAGAAGTTGATTTTTTGTGTTGTCTAAGGATTTGGTGCCAACTCTTGCAAACTTTTTTCCAGAAATTTCCGTTTTCGTTCCGACGCCTTTCTGATGTAGCACAAATAATTGTTGGATACCTTTCTGGGGATGATTCTTTTGTGTCGACGGTTTAAGATTATTTCCAGAGACGAACGCGTTGCATTCGTGAATAAACTGATGGATTGAGACGCTTTGTGTTGAATGTGTAGCCAGTTTTGTTGAGCAAGTTTTCTCAAGGGGACTTTTTCTGTGTTGGCTGATTGCGCGTGACGGGTTGCAAGATCGTAAATCGTATCTAGTAGGGGGGCTGTTTGTGGTACTTGGATATGAGTCCGATCTGTGCATCCTCTGTGGGGGATACGCGTATGGGAACAATGGGTATGATGGGTATTACGCGGTTGAGGTCCAAGTGCGGGGCCTCCGAGTGAGCACACGGCGGTGTGCTGCCGGCACTTGCCTGAGGGGCTTGCGAGTTGGTTACCAGCTTGCCTGAGGGGCTTGCGTGACGATAAATATGTTCGTGTGTTTGGATAAGGACTGGTTAGATCTACCGGCAACAACAGAGGGCACGCAGATGGGGCATATGTACACCTTGAAATTGTTGCATGTGCGGGGACCCCTCGAACTCCAAAGAGGGCTTCACTTCTCCCTACTCCCCTTGCGTGTCTAATACAAGAGATAACACGTCTTCCCCTTCCAAGTAAAGGACATATACGAACACACTAGTGCCAGTCTCTCGAGGGAGAGTCCATTAGGAATGTCAGGTCGCAAAGATGGGGGTGACTCCTCCAGCGACTCTGCGGCGGAAGACAGAAAGAGGTCAAGAGAAGAGCTCGTGGTCCTGACGACGCAAGTTAGCTCGCTGACGGATCAGATGAGCCAGCTAATGTCGCTAGTGGAAGATACCATGAAGGCAAGCAAGAAGGAGGAGCCACCTGGCACCATGGAGGGTGCCGCTGATCGCGGCGATGCTAGGGAGAGCGCCGCTGCGGAGTCCACGAACGNGAGATGGTGGTGCTGCTGTTGGCTTTGGATACGGAGCCACAACCCCAGCGACGGGGTACCAAAGTGTGAGGTACACTTTTCCTCCGTTCAGCGGGAAATCGAAAGATTTCAACGAATGGCTAAATGATTTCCGCATGGCAGCTAATGGCGCAAACCTGTTGGAACAAATTGACGAGAGTGGGAGCTTGGAGATCCCTGTCAACAGCGGAAAGAGCAAGTCTTCGCTGTCACAGCAGTACCGGAGCGAGCAAGTAGAGCTCGCATTCCACGCGTGGAACTTCCTGTCTCACGCGTTGAAAGGAAAAGATCGGAAAATCATGAAGAGGGAAGAGACGCCCAGGGAGCCCTTCGTGAGCTCAAGACCATACACGACCCTGAATCATTTGTACAGCCGTCAGAGGACCTCAAGTGCCCGACGTCGACCAAGATCTCTAGAGATGAAAACCCCCAAAACGCCCTAAATGAGATGCTCCAAACCGCAAAGTCCTTAACCGAGAAAGGACTAACTGTCAACGAAACGTTCGTCCTTCACCTCTTCCTGGATGCCCTTTCGGACGAGTATGCCATGACAAAGCACAACCTGCGACACGCGAAGGAGTTGACGCGGACCGGTGTGCTAAAGGAAGTAATGATCGAATACAAGACGATCAAAGACAAGCTGGAGCAGGGGAAAGGAAAAGGGGGGAAGGGCGCAGAGCAAGCGTACTTCGCCGACGGTGAGGGTCGCAGGGGGCGGTACTCAAGTAGGAGTCATGGGCAGGTCGTGGTCGTGGCGGCGGCCGTGGCCGCAGCAGCAGTCGTGGCCGCGGGGGCGGCGGTCGCGGCGGCCGCTCAGGTGGATCCGGAGGAATCGAGGAGAATAAGGGAAGCAGCAGTGGAGGCGCCGATGGCGGCGGTGGCGGGGACTATAAGTTCCCGGGCCGGTGCTTTAGGTGTGGACATCGTGGACATCAAGCGATAGGCTGCACTACCAACGAGAAGGACTCCGTGCCGTGGTGTACGCGCTGCGAGGGGTGGGGCCACACCAAAGAAAAGTGCGCGACGGAGGAGGCCGTCCTAGCGCAAGTGGTGGAGCATGAGAGCGACATGGACTCCGTGGAAGACCAGGCGTTTTGTGCCGTGGCAGTCCCCCCAGGCGAGTGTGGTACCGTTGGTGAAGTAGGTCTAGTGGGGGTTGTGGGACAAGGCCAGGCGGTGTACGTGGCCGACACAGCGGCCGTGCTCCATGTTCCGATGTACAGACAACTTCGTGAACTACCGTGAGCGTAGTGGTTGCGTGAAGGGGATCGGAGGCGACAAGGCCCCCGTTCCTTTTTCAGGATACGGAGATGTGACCTTTGTCCTACAGACGGAAGATGGTGGAGTACCTGTACCAATACTAAATGCTGCCCATGTACCAGAGGCCCCCTACAACCTCCTCTCGCTGTCTTCGTTGGCGGAGGAGGGCCACACGTATTCGGGGATGAAGGGGGGCATCACGCTGACCACGAAAGCCGGGGGGGAGGTGTGGTTCCCTCGGACTGGAAAGCTGCTGACCCAACGAGGCTATCAAATAAAGCCAACGCTACACACCGCCTGTGCCGCACTCATTGTTCCTGGCGATGCGAAAGCAGCCAACCCCACTGAACCCAACGAGTACCACCTCGCGCACGGCCATGACCATGAGACATTGCTCAGGATCACGGCGGAGCAGCAGGGAGTGCAGCTGACGGATGGACCGCTGCTACCCTGTCTTGGCTGTTCGGTGTTCAAGGGACAGGTGAAACCCGTCCAGAAGAGCACGAGCACACGCGCAGATAAGAAGTTATTTCGCGTGTATCTCGACTTGGGGGGAAAGATGAAAACCAGGAGCATTGGTGACCACTGGTATACACTGATGATCAGAGACGATTTCTCCCGTTGGACGCGTGTTTTCTTCTTGAAACACAANACCCAACGAGTACCACCTCGCGCACGGCCATGACCATGAGACATTGCTCAGGATCACGGCGGAGCAGCAGGGAGTGCAGCTGACGGATGGACCGCTGCTACCCTGTCTTGGCTGTTCGGTGTTCAAGGGACAGGTGAAACCCGTCCAGAAGAGCACGAGCACACGCGCAGATAAGAAGTTATTTCGCGTGTATCTCGACTTGGGGGGAAAGATGAAAACCAGGAGCATTGGTGACCACTGGTATACACTGATGATCAGAGACGATTTCTCCCGTTGGACGCGTGTTTTCTTCTTGAAACACAAGTCTGACGCAGCGGTTGGGTTTGAGAAGTTCCTGGTGGACTACCGAACGAAAGAGGTTCCGTGTGAGGTTTATATCACACGTACCGACGATGGCGGCGAGTTCCAGGGGCAGTTTGCGGAAGTTTTCCGCAGACACGGCATCAAACAAGAGTTCACCCCCCCTCACACCCCAAAATACAACGATGTAGCGGAGCGAGCGCTAGGGTTGATCACTGATGCCGCGCTTGCGTCACGCATCCAAGCGACGCAACCGTTCCCCGACGCACCGAACCACCCTGGGTTGTGGGCCGAGGCCATTTCGTGTGCATGCCATCAGCTGAACTGCACCGCCACTTAAATCAAACGAGGGAGACAAATCTGCCTACGAGATGTTCCACGACTCCCCACCGCCTGTCGGGTCTACATACCCGTTTCTCAAACCAGCCGTGTTCAAGTCGAGAAGAAAAACAAAGTCGCAACCCAATGGCGAAAAATGATGGCACCTTGGTCCTGCCCACAATCACTCCCGTGACTGCGTTCGCATGCTAACCGAAGCTGGAACAGTAATCACCACCCCCAATTTCACCTGGCGCCACGTGCCCGCTGCATCGCCCGCTCCCCCGCAGCTGCTACCTCTCGCAGATGACGAGGAGGGCGGGAAGGGCGAGAGCAGAGCCGATGCATCACGCCAAGGTTGGGGGGGAGAGAGAGACTCAGGGAGTGAGTCCGACCTCGACGTGATGGAGGCTCGTGGGCCAGGGCAAGCGACGCCGTTTATGCGCGAGAAGGCGCCGATGGCACCCGGCAACGGGATTCCGGGGGACGGAGGCAGCGTTCCCCCGTCGCCCCCTTCGGGAAGTGGCGACTTCGGCGGAGGCAGTGACAGCCCCACCGACAGCAGCAGCAGCAGCAGCAGCAGCAGCAGGAGCCCGAGCAGCAGCAGCAGTGACGCCGGCGGTGCCGGCGGCCCGGGCGGCGAAGAGTCCAGCGACCCAGGTGGGGACGGCGGTAGCGATGGTGATCCCGGCGACTCCGAGAACCTCGAGGAGTTGAAGTGTGATCCAGCCAACGACCGCTACCCCCGCGGGCTAGAAGGGAAGAACGCTGGCCCGCTGCGCCATGGGCTTGAGAGTGGCCGCACGCGGAGGCAGACCCGGGAGATGCAAGGTGCCGGGGAGATGCCGGGGCCCGGAGAAACACCGGACCGGGAAGAGGCGTTGCTGGCGACCATCCTGGAAACTGGCGGGACGGGGATTTTTGAGGACTACATCTGCAACTCGCTTGTGAAGGAGCAGTGGGACGAGGAGCAGACACGCCATATGGAGAAGATGTACAGGCGTGAGATTCAGGAGGTGTTGGGCCCGGAACAGCAGGCGTTCGGGGCCGAGGTCGACGCCAGCGGGTCTTCGCAACCACTCCCAGACCCACAGCTAGGTATGACCTCGCCAATCGGGCAGAAGCCGAGTGATGTGGAAGCAGTACCGATGACGTACAAGGATGTGATGTGTTCCAAGTACAAGGTTTTCTGGGGGGTGGCCATGAAGAAAGAGATAGATCGCCACGACAAGACTGGAACCTTTACCAAGGTCAAGGAGCTGCCCGAGGGGCGGAAGGCCATAGGTTCAAAGTGGGTGTTCTCTTGGAAGACGAATGAGAAGAACCTGATTGTCGACTTCAAGGCCCGTATGATTGCGCGGGGTTTCTCTCGAATCCCCGGCATCGACTTCCACCACTCATCCTCAGCGTGGCCGTCTGCAGCGTCTATCAAGACGGTGATTGCCATAGCCACTGAAAAGGGCAAGAAAGTCGCTCACTGGGATGTGAAGCAAGCGTACTTCCACGTGAGCTAAAAGAAGTAATATACCTCAGGTTCCCGGAAGGCTGTGGTAGCATGTCCGGCAAGGTGGTCAAGGTTGAGCGTGCCCTGTATGGCCTAAAGCAGAGTGGCCGTGAGTGGGGGTTTGAAGCTGCCGATGCCCTCTTCGAGAATGGATACGAGCAGNGAATGGATACGAGCAGTGCAGGGTTGACCCGTGTGTCTTCCGGAAGGTGATGGATGAAGAGGTCGTAGGTCTTATCGTGATCTACGTTGATGACATCGTAGTGGCGGCAGACGAGGGAGAGCGAGAGGAGTTGTTCGCTTCCCTCATCAAGATGTTTCCGATGAAAGATCTGGGGGAGTGTACCCGGTACGACGGGTGTGCTATCGCCATGGATGTAGAAAATGGCATCACCAGGCTGTCCCAGACAGCAAACATTGCGAGTATGCTGAAGCGGTTTGATGTGACCACGACCGCTTTCACCCCTGCTGCCACCGATAATGTGGACGAAGCTGACGAGGCCAGACATTGCCCTGCCTCTGAACAAGCTCCAGGAGATCGGCCACTTACCCACCAGGAGGATATGGAACGCGCTTGTGCGGATCATGTCCTACCTGAACTTCACGCAGGACTTCGGCATCACCTACGTACGGGGGTCAGGACTAGACCTAAGCGTGTTTGTCGATGCCAGCTACGCTGACAACGAAGTAGACAGGCGTTCTACGACCGGGCTAGCTGTGACCGTAGGTGGTACCGTAGTGTGTGCATCCACCAAGACGCAGCCAGTGACGGCTCAGTCGACCTCGGAAGCAGAGTATATGGCAGCCGGGGAGGGCGTGAAGGAGGCGTTGTTTGTGCGTGGCGTTCTGTCGTTCATAGCGCCCGAGACGAGTGGGGCGAAGATCAAGGTCCTTGAGGAAAACAAGGGGGCTCTCGCCTTAATCGAGAACCCGTTCAGCTCAGCGAGGAGCAAGCACATCGACGTGCGGTTCCATTTCATTCGCGAGCTATTCAAGTCGGGCAAGATCACTGCAGAGTATGTTCCGACTGGAGAGCAGCACGCCGACATGCTGACCAAGGTCCTTGGCAGAGAGAAGTTAGAGTACCACCGGAAGGCTCTGATGAATTTACCGATGTAGTGTTTTCTTGTTCCGTTTGGTTTATGTGGCGGTTGTAGCACTTGGCATATATGACCATGGTACGTCACGCAGGAAGCGTTGTGCCGGCGCGTCACCCGCGGCTGGAGCATAGAAACGCCGAGAGCGTTGCTTCGGGTGTGTTATCAGCGTGACCGGTTCAATCTGTCCTGCCTTGGTCTTGTCTTGGAAGTGCGGCCGTTGGAATCCTCCGTGATAGCGATGGTTTTCTATATGTAGGGTGTTAGACGAGGGTTTTTGATCCGGTTGGCCAGGTTTTCCCTCGAGCCTGTTGCTGTTTTGAGTCCCTTTGGTAGATCAGGGGTATCCATGCCCCACGTTAGGTTTGCCGTTCGCGTGCAAACCGGGGAGGGTGTTCGTGTGTTTGGATACGGACTGGTTAGATCTACCGGCAACAACAGAGGGCACGCAGATGGGGCATATGTACACCTTGAAATGGTTGCATGTGCGGGGACCCCTCGAACTCCAAAGAGGGCTTCACTTCTCCCTACTCCCCTTGCGTGTCTAATACAAGAGATAAAACGTCTTCCCCTTCCAAGTAAAGGACATATACGAACAAAATATGTATGGTCCTTTTCTTCATCTGATCTGCTGTTCCTGGGATAACATGGTACCCAGTCTCAACACCACAGACCGCTGAGGGCGGCAGTGCACACTAGCAAGTCACCTTGCAAAGGGTTGGAATTGATCAGTTAATATACAAGTAGTTTTCAAATCGTGCTTTTGTACTGATAAGAGTTTTTCAAGTGTTCCGGTCCTACAGTAGTGCTAGTCTGGGTGAATGTCCCTAGTATTCGGTACTTGAGTCTCCAAGGGAGGCTGCGGTACTCCATGATGATGTTGGCCAATATTTGCCTTGTGGAGACTGCGGTTAACGCGTACGGTGTTTAGGGTTGGCGAGCATTTACGGTAGGTATCGGTCAACCGTTTTTGTGGTTCACCGTCCAGGCGGCGGGATCATGTATGTGGTGTCCGTCTCCCAGTTCCTCCAGACAGCGTGTTCCAGATACACGGGGAATCGAGGGGGAGGATGGCCGGAACGTGTTGGGCCTATGGATGTAGGGCTACAATAGTTGAAAGCAGTTCTGCCGCCGTAGAGAATCGTAAGTAGGAACTTGTGGGACCGTACATGTTCATCTTGTCCAGGTACATATTATCAAAGGAGCGCGGTTTGGCGTCGTTTGGTTTCTAAATCTGAAATTAATTTTCAACGTTATCAACCATGCGATCAACGTGACCAGCATTCGAGGGGGCTAGGGAACCACGCGCGGAGCGGCGGGAGGGCGCAATTGTCTACGTTGACACCCCGCTGGCCTCTGTCGCCACGTAGCGTGATGGAATGGCAAGGAGGGTTTCCACCGGCCACTACAGCAGTATCTTTTGGCAGTGGGGGGGCTGGCCCTCAAAACCAGTCCCTCTGACCCATCGCCACCTCTCGACAGTGGTGTCTCGTGGCCGCACGCGGGGTCATGAAGAACGTTTACCGGCATTTTCACGAGTCGACATATTCAGCAATAGCACGGAGAGGAAGCCGAAACGGCCTCCGGTGCCTCCCACGCCATCGCCAACGGCTGACCACGCCCGGTGTTAGCCGTATACGTTTTCCACTAGCAATGTCCCGAGTGGCTGCTCGCACTACGTTCCGGTCGTCCCCCTGTGCAGATTATGCCCAGGACACCTTTCGAACATTGATCAGAGTGCACGCACAAGTCATGCGTGCATCCGATTCCGCACCGCGGCGTAGATCCCGGTCCGTCCTAGGGCATAAAGCACTCAGTTTGCAGGATCCTTGTGAGACTGAGGAATAAATTCTACATTTATGGAGTTTGAGCCGGATCAAAAGACGAAACGCAATAAACCCCAGGGTGCCCGCAAGCACTCTAGCGCCCCTTGTGGTCTCACGTGGCAACTGCCCAAGGTTTTCGTGAACCTACACGGATGGTGCGCACAATCCCCAACAGAGCAAGATATCCTGATTCAAGGCACTGCCTGAGGTTCGAGAACGCCTCCTTGGTTCCGGTTCCGACCTCACACGATGCCGGTTCAGGGCGAGGGTACCATTGTTGTTGTTGTTGTTGTTGACTTCACATTAAACCGTATGCCAGTTGCTGAATGCCAAAATCTAGCAAAGACTCTCAGCCCGTGGTCACGAAAGTGCTAGAGCCATCTGAGGATCTAAAGAACACGCACACGTGGCAAGAAAAAGGTATCCAAGAGCCCGAAGAGGTACTACTAGTCTACACCTATATATAATCCCTGCAGCACCGTACGCGTGCCCAAAACTGATTAGTCTACACGTCCGTCTCACCGTTCGACTACAGCAACATCACCCCCTACTTGTCCCACTCTGTACCAAAACGAATGATTGCCGACTACAGCATACTTGCTGTCTGAAGTGCTGTCTGTACAAAAACACCATGGTAGGCATGGAACAAGAAGCTGGCGGGGCACAAAGCTGCTGTCTGAAGTGCTGTCAGAATGTGTCTGCGGACGTACAGTGAAAAAGAACAACCAACCAAAGCCATGATTGCAATGGACAATCACCCGAACCTCCGCACCAACCAGCTCTTAGTCACGCAGTGAAAATATCGACAATAGCTAAGAATCGTTCCACATTGAAGGGGTCTTCCACGATCAGGCACATAACCAAGGCACCCGGGTTAGCCACGCCATCTCTGACGGGTCTCTCTACAAAACCAGTGACGACGTCATCACATAGAACCAACA